AAAAAAAAAAGTACAAGGGAAGAAACCAGGTGAAAAAATTTTGAGCACTTATATCTTTATATTGAGGTATACTTAATATAAACTGCATAATTTTTTTTTAATGTTTACTCATTTTTGAGAGAGAGTGAGCAAGAGAGAGCAAGCATGAGTGGGGAAGGGGCAAAGAGAGGGGGAGGTACCGAATCCAAAGCAGCTCCAGGCTCTGAGCTGTCAGCCCGGAGGTTGACACAGGGCTTGAACCCACAGACTGTGAGGTCATGACCTGAGCCGAAGTTGGTCACTTAACCAACTGAGCCACCCAGGCACCCCTAAACTGCATAAATCTTGAATGTACACCTTGTTGAAATTTTACATATGTGTACACTGTTATAATCATCACCGAGATCAAGAAATAGAAGTTTCCAGAGCACCTGGCTGGCTCAGTGGGTGGAGCATGCGACTCTTAATCTTGGGGTTATAGGTTCAAGCCCCACATTGGGTGTAGAGATTACTCAAAAATAAAATCTTAAAAAGACATATATGTTTATATACTTATATTAATTTCTTGCACACCAGAAACCTCCCTGGGTTCTCTTCACAGTTAGTAACCACCAAGAGTAATGACTACTCTGACTCCTATTATATGAGATTGTAATATAATATGTATTTGGTCTTTGTCCTGATTCCTGGCACAAGAGCTCCTACAACTCTTGTAATTTTCTAAGTCATAATGGTAGAAGCACATCATTTGTCATTTTTAATAAGTCCCTCTCAACCATACCTGAGTTCATATTAATGGGGTGACTCAAGATGATTCCTTAGATAGCTTCAGGATGGGGGTTGGTTGCCAGAGGAACCAAGCATGTAATTATGAGTATGGAACTTTCAGCCTCATCCCCTAACCTCTGAAAAGGGGAGGAGAAATGTGGATTGAATCAAGGTTAATGATTTAATCAATCATCCCTTCATAATGGAACCTCCATATAAACCCTAACTATGGGGTTTGGATTAGCCTCTAAGTTGGTGAATATATCCACATACCATGAGGGTAGTGTACCCCAAGCTCCACAGGGACAGAAGCTCCTGTGTTCAGGACTCTTGCAGACCTCACTCCCTGTCCATCTTCATTTAGCCCTTCATTTGTTTCTTTTATAATACCCTTTATAATAAGCTGGCAATATATTTATTTTCCTGAGTTCCATGAGGTATTATAACAAATTATGAACCCTGATTAGGAGGTCACAGGAACCCCCAATTTATCTATCAATTGGCATTTGAACTATTTTCATCGATTGACATTTGAACTATTTTCCATTTATGGCTGTTATGAATAAAACTGAGTACTCTCATGCCTTTTGGTGGACGTAAACACTCATTTCTGTTGATACAACCAGTAGTAGTTCTGGATCATAAGGTACACATACTTAGCCATAGTAGGTACTACCATAGATTTTTTTCCAAATTGTACCAATTTATGTGCCCACTAGCAATGTATGAGAGTTCCAGTTATTCTACCTCACCAATCATTGGTATCATCAGTCTTTATTTATTTTTTAAATTTATTTATTTTGGGAGAGACAGCACAAGCAGGGGAGGGGCAGAGGGAGAGGGGGACAGAGGATCTGAAACAGGCTCTGTGGTGACAGCAGCAAGCCACCCACATGCCCCGTTGTCGTCAGTCTTTTAAAAGCAACTGTGGACTTTTAAACTTCAAGGTGAATCTTTATTCCACAGAAATTGTGAGCTCTGCTGGGAGGTACATTTGGCGATAGTTCCTGGGATGTCAAAATGAAGTGCACCAACTCTGAGGATGAGCCTACAGCCTTTGACATGGGCAGAGGATACCAGGAACCAAGTGCAGCCCAGCATGAGCCTAGATTCTCAAAGGAATTCCAGACTCTTGCCCAGTGGGCTCCTGGGTCACCAAGGGCATTGTGAGGCAAGACAGAACTGCAGCAAGAGGCTCAAAAAGAAAGCTGAACCACTTCTGACCCATTCACCCTGTTCATGTCTCTGAAGGGATAGGCCTGACCAAGTAAGATGGGGCTGCCTTTCCCAAGGTGGCACTAGAGATTAGTGGCAGTGCCCACTTGGGATGGCAGAGGACTCTGTCTCAATCTGGTCTGTTTCGGATTGGAAAACAAATCTAAATCTTGTAGGCAGAACCTTAGAGTCTTAGGGTCTTAGGGTCAACAGAGCTCCCTGGAGGTATGAAGCCTGAAGCGACCAGCAGGTAACTGGGCACTACAGCCCGAAGCCAGTCAACCCCAAGCAAGAGTATCCTGCTTCCTCAAAGGGTTTCTTTACCTGAGGAAAAGCGGAACCAGCACTCAAATTCCTACAGCATCTTCTGAAAATGGAGGCAAGGGTGATCCTGAAGAAGCCCCCTTCTCTAACTGACAAGCAAAACGGCCACTATACTCTGTAGTTCAGAATTTCACCCAATATGCCCTCATTGAGATGCAACCAGGGCCCAGAGGGAGAGGCAGGCAATGGCAGTCCCCTGTTCCTGTCCTCAATTTAGGAGACATAAGAAACATAAATTAAGGCGTGAGGCCTATTTCATAAAGCACAAAGACCCTGTGGCCCGCAGGTCGTGGGAGTCTAAAGGGAGGCGAGGTCGTAGCTGAGGGAAAGGTGACTGAGGAGCTGTTGCAGCTTGGGCAGGAGAGTCGGGAGAGGTGGACAGCAGGGAATCAGGAGACTGAGAGGAGAACGGAGCCTTAGGACTCCCCAGGGGTGGGAAGGCGGGCAGAGGACCAGGGAGCGGCTTGGGGTGGCTGCGCCGGGCAGGGCAGGTACTCTAAAGAAGGAAAGTCTGGGCACGCCGGCCGGACTCCACCTTACGAGGGTGGGGGAAGGAGGTCCTGCCTCCTCGCACAGAGTCCAGCCCTTGGTGCTGGAGCTCCGTTTGTGATAGGTTCGGGGAAAGTGCGGCGCTCAAAAGGAGATAACCAGTGGTGGCTGCCCAGGAAAGGCGTGTGCTGGGAGGGATTCCTTCTCCGAGCCGGGTTAGTTGTCTTCACTTCCGGGTGCCTGCGGATGAGTAGGCGGGGGTCCAAGGTCAGCGGCCAGAACGCAGATTGCTTTGACCCCTGGTCTTCCACTTCCAGCGGCACTCTGACGACCGTTGGAAATGCGCGGGCGGCAGCAAAACGACAGCCGCGAATTTACCACTTGCAGACCCTAAACCCCACCCCTGAAGGCCAGGCGGCGTCTCCGTGGCGACGTGCAGCGAAGTGCGGCTGCGCAAGGGTGACGGAGCGAGGGCGAAGGGGAGGGGGTGTTTTGGTTCCAGCCGCTCGCCGTCCTTTCAGACTTGTTCGTCTGAAAGCTTCTCGTTCCTTCCTTCCCTAACCCCTTCCCTTTCCCTTTCCCTTTCCCGGCCCCGGTCCTCCCTCCCTCCTTTCCCTTCTGCCTGCCTCCCTGGGTCCGGGCCATTTTCCGGGCCAGGCGCTTTAAAGTGCGTGGCCCCGGGGCCCAGTATATGACCCGCCGTCTTGCTAACCCTCGCTACCCCCGCCCCATGTGGCTGCGGGGCCGCTGCGGCGCTGCCCACTATGGCCCGGAAAGCAGTTAGCAGGAAGCGGAAAGCGCCTGCCTCGCCAGGAGCTGGGAGCGACGCTCAGTGCCCGCAGGTGAGGGCTGAGAGGCCAGGACTCGGGTTATATCGCCGAAGCACCCAGAGGGGGATAGAGTCCTGAGATAAGGGAACCGGAACCCGGGACCAAGGTTTGTAATCAGAGGTGGGGCAAGAGCGTGGCCCAGCCAGTACGGTAAGGGCTGGGTCCCCAGGAATTCATAGGAGAGCAGAAAGGACAGAGAGATGAGACACTGAAGGGAAACTTGGAAACAGGGTATACTCCTCAGAAGGCCTACAGCCGGGAGTGGGGCTTGAGGGGAAACTAGAATCTTGGCTTTGGAGGAAGGGAAACCGACGTCGAGTGGAATCAGGAACAAAACCTCCCAGAAGGTACGCGGAGGGAGAGTGAAGTCCACCTCCGGGGGGGTGGGGGGGTGGGCAGAGATGATTGCGACCTTTATATGGGAAAGATTCTCCCTCCGGCTACCTCAAGCCCCAACATGGGGTTTTTGGCTCCTGGACCGTTGTAAAAAACAGCACTTCTCAGGTATCATTCCTATACCTCCCTCTTTGAAGGAGAAGACCTTGTTGGACGCGTATTCGGACTCTGATTTCCCGTGCCTCCTACCCCGTTAGTATTTGATTTTTCGAATTCTTCAACCGCCTGGAGCGCGGGACAGGGAGGAAGTCTTTGATAGTGCATCCCTGGAAGGTGTAGGACCCCATTCTGGCCCTAGTTGCACTCTCCATGCTCCGCGGGGAGTACAGACTGAGAGAGAGAAGGGGACTGGGTAGAGATGCAGCCCAGGTCGGTATAGTAATTATGTGGCCCCTCATTCCCTTCCCTGTCAAGTATAGCTTTAGGGGATTTGAATCCTTCACTCCTAAAAGGCCTAGTAAACCTTTTGACCTCTTTTCTGCTTCCATTCCCTTGTCTTTCAGCCCTTGTTTCTCATAGGTTTGACTATGAGCAGTATCTTTTCAATGTTGGAAGAATTAAATTGGACTTTTCTGTATTGAGTTACCTATTCTGTTGTATGTGAATCCTGCAGGATGAGTTCTTGGTGATTTCTCTGATACAGGAGGATCCCTCCTTCTGAACCAAGGTAGCCAAAGCCCTAATTTCTAATGTTGCTTTACACAGTTTGGCTGGGATCACTCACTTCACAAAAGGAAAAGACTCCCCCCGGTGAAGAGATCCTTAGTGTACTACCTGAAGAACCGAGAAGTCAGGCTTCAGAATGAAACCAACTATTCTCGAGTGTTGCATGGCTATGCAGCACAGCAACTTCCCAGTCTCCTGAGGGAGAGAGAGTTTCATCTTGGAACCCTTAATAAAGTGTTTGCATCTCAGTGGCTGAATCATAGGCAAGTGGTGTGTGGCACCAAATGCAACACGGTAAGTGTCTGGGGTAAGTGAACCTTACCCTATGTCCTGCTCTAGAACCTCTCACTGCTCACTTTCCTCATCAGTTTCTTTTGGGAGGATATTGCCTTACTCTGCTTTCCATTCTCTCCTATCTGTTGATAACTTCCGCCTCTCTTTCTGTCCCTTTTGCCACTTCCTCATTTCTTTCCTGATAAATCTTCAGAGGAGCCTGTTTCTTTAGGCCTCTTGCCATATGTACAGTTGTTCCACTGCTTTTTTTGGCCTCATGTTTTTGTGTTGCTTTTTAAGTCAGAGAATGCAGAGGAAAGATTTAGGAAAGAATGATGCTCAGGGAGGGCATCATTTGGGATACATAATAGTGGAAACTTAGGTCTTACCTGCTAGACTAAAGGCATATATAAAAATATTTAAGGATGTGTGGGTGGCTCAGTCGGTTAAGTGTCCAACTTGGGCTCAAGTCATGATCTCATGGTTTGTGGGTTCGAGCCCCACATTGAGCTCTCTGCTGTCAGCGAGAAGCCTGCTTTGGATTCTCTGTTCCCCTTTCTCTGCCTCTACCCTGCTCATGCACTCACTCAACACACGTTCTCTCTCTCTCTCAAAAATAAATAATATTAAAAAAAAATTAACTAGCACTTGGCTCAAGATAAAGCGAGCATTACTTTTTAGGGAGTAGAATCTAAAGATGTATTTCTTTTAAGAAAGGGCAGAGAATGTGTGTTTGGTGGTATATTTCAGGATATAAATGTTTGCTCTTTGTAAAGTAGCCTCCTGGAAAGGATTCGAAAGAGAGAAAAATTATTATATAAGTAGGAAAGTGTTCTTACACAGAATGACTTAGAAAATAGTTATAAGTGAATGAAAGGAAAAATATGTCGGTAATCTATATAATAAGCACAATTACAGGCATAGGTAAAATAGGTCAATCCATGATTGGATATTACAATATGATTGGAACAGAAGGACACAAATAGCATGATTTCAGAGGAATGGTAAGAGGCAGGGCCTGGAGGTGGGAAATGATTCCAAAGGAAGCATGAGAAAAGATGGGATGTAGGCCCAGCTGCTCTCTCTGTTTTCACCTCACCCTGAGTGATTAGACAAGTAATGTCATAATGGCTGGGTAAATTTTCCTTAGGCAGAAGCACAGATTGATTGAAAGAGAGAATATCCTTCTAGATCAAGAAAGTGTTAAGTGCTAGAAGTGTTTGTTTATAAAGGACATAGGCAAAGATTTAAACAAGAGTTTTAAGGAAGGAAATAATATCTTGGAGGTTGGGGCCAAACTGACATTTCCTCTTCTGTTGAGCGTTGCTGCTTGTCATACAGAAGCCTTTCAAAACTAAGTAGTGGTGGGGCACCTGGGTGGCTCAGTCACATAAGCATCATACTGTTGATCTCAGCTCAGGTCATGATCTCAGGATTCATGGGATCGAGCCCCAGGTTAGGTTCTGGGTTGACATCATGAAACCTGCTTGGGAGTCTCTCTCTCCACCCCTCTCCCCCCACCCCCACTTGTGCACACAGGCACGTGCTCTCTCTCTCAAAATAAATAAACTTAAAAAAAAAAAAACCTAAGTAGTTGTGGAAAGACAAAACTTCCTTTTCCTAGTTTCTCATGCCACCACTCATGGTTTAAGAGCACTGTCATTGTGACTTGGAGTAGAAAAAGAGTTTCCCCATTTGGAGGAATTCATTCTGCTCTCCATGTACATCATCATACTGTTTTGCCTGGCAAATGTTGCTGAATTCTGAACTAAGTTAATAATAGTCTTTTTCTTGAATTTATTGCCTCTATTTTGAAGGTTTGAATAATGTAAAGTAATAATTTACTTTTTTTTTTTTAATTTTTATTTTTGAGAGAGACACACACAATAGTGTGAGCGGGGGAGGGGAAGAGAGCTGTGAAAGGGAGACACAGAATCTGAAGCAAGCTCCAGGCTCTGAGCTGTCAGCAGAGAGCCTGATGCAGGGCTCAAAGTCACAAACCATGAGATCACGACCTGAGCTGAAGTCACAAATTTAACTGAGCCACCCAGGAGCCCCTAATCTACTCTTAATACCTACCTCTTCCTGACTTCCTGTGTCCTCATAACCTAAGGTATTTAAATGAGGGCCTATTTTCTTTATATAGTTTATGTTGTTATTTGTTTAGCTTCCAGAACCGAAGCAGGGAACCAGAAACACTGCTCTTAACTTTGTGACATTTGGCAAATGATTCTCTTGTGTGCCTTTGTTTTCCCATCTATAAAATGGGAGTGGTAATATACAGTGCTCAGAATGTGGCTGTGCACATCTTGGGAAACACTTGTTAGCAATATCTTCCTTATGCAAAAATAGTACTGGTCCGGGCAGCTGTGTGGCTCAGTGGGTGAGCACCCAACTCTTGGTTTCTTCTTAGGTTGTGATCCTGGGGTTGTGGGATCCAGCCGTGCATCAGGCTCCATGATGGACATGGAACCTGCTTGGGATTCTCTCTCTCTCTCTCTCTCTCTCTCTCTCTCTGTTTTTCCCTACCCCCCTCCCCCACCCCACTTGTGAGTACACCTATCTCTAAAAAATATGTATATATATTTGTGGTGATAATGAATGCAAAGCTTTTTCCAATGCTGTTTGCATTCCTTGGGACTCCACTCAGTTTGAAAGAAAGGAAAATTAAACAATCTTTGGAAAATATGCCAAGATTCGGGGGAAGAAGAGTTTGTGTTGGATTCTCAATAGTAAGTTTTGGTGTATTGAAATTTTGCAATTTAAATGTATCAAGTAGGAAAAGTATACCACAACCATTCATATCCTAAAATAACCTATTAATTAATGTGTCTGCTGGTTAGAAGCTGTTTTTGTCTTGGGTACTGTTGGTATGATTAGCATTTAACTGAATATACACAAATGCTAAAAAGCCCTATCATTTCCCAGTTAACTAGCTTCGGGCAATAGTATTGAAACTTCTGCTGAGGCATTAGGTCATCCATTATGGAAAAAAACATCAGATATATTCTATGTCTTTCTGTAGCTTGATTCCTGAGGTGGGAATTCTGCTATGCTATGGGCTAACACTCAAACTAGGGGCAGTCACTTAACCCTCAGAATTCTCTGGGCCTATTAAGCATAACTACAAGAATGGTCAATGTATGTCTTAATCATTAAGAACATTAGTATGGTCATATATATTTTTAAGTTTACTTATTTATCTCGAGGGAGAGAGAGAGAGTGCACATACTTGTGGGAGGGGAAAGAGAGAGAATCCCAAGCAGGGCCCATGCGGTCAGCTCAGAGCCCAATGTGGAGCTCAGATTCACAAACTGCAAGATCATGACCTGAGAAGAAATCAAGACTCAGGTGTTCAACCAACTGAGCCACCCAGGTGCCCCAGTATGGTCATATTTTTTCTTTTCTTTTCTTTTCTTTTCTTTTCTTTTCTT